ATGTGTGCGAGTTCGCGTGCAATCGCTTTCGCGTTAATTCGCCACAAAAATCGATAATCTATGCCGAAGTTCGTAGCTCGTAAATTTCACTCGAAGCGGAAGCGGAGAAGCATTTATACAAGGAAAAAAGAAGCGGCGGATTAAAAGAGGCATTAAATTATCCGAACGGGTCGGTGTAACAGGGGTGCAATTGCGCTTTCGTAACGATTCTTTAATTAAGAAGATTTAGCGACGCGCGCCCGAGAGACAAGCGATAAAAACTCAATTGCCCGGACCGATTACAACTAAGTGCCTGCAACAACCATTATTGAGAACGGACGGTGAAATTTGATTTCGCCTGTCCCGGTATCGTTTTTCGCCACGTGACACGGACCCGCGGCCTGAATCCGCAATTCTCCTGGAACTGCGTGTTACTGGCCGCGGAGTCGCGCCGAGCCGAGCCGAGCCGCGGCCCGCCACACCGTCAGCTGATACAAGTGGCTCTACGTGATCCGGTAACGGAATGCCAGCCGAGAAGTATAATTGAATTAATAAACTACGACGAAATCTGGCGAGCAACTTACTTACCGCGACGCGTCGCTGCGCCGAGCACTGCGGAGGCTGACGAAAAAAACGTTTCTCCTTTTTGGCTTTTATCCTGCGTTTTCTGGACAGTGTCTGGCCGATACGCTGTGGCCGTTGAGTACACTGCGGATTTTTCCGCAAAATACAAATTGTCTGTATCGACTGCAAAAAATCGAAACTAAACAGAGAGTTCCACTGATTTTTTTAATAATTTCGGTGGATTAGAGTAACACACACTGACAGTTTCACGTTCTTTCAATCTTCCTACTATTTTAAATGGCAACCACTTTGCTGTAAATCCGTAAAATTCGCAGTCTACTGATGAGAGTACGGTAATATAGTGCCTAATGCGCCTTTCTTTTCTTTTAAATTATAACTTCCGATTAAAGGACACTTTTATCAAACGTGCTATAAGTACGTCTAAAAATTAGAACATGTATTCTTTTACGATCTAGCGGAAAATATTTCATTGCGAAGTTGAAATATACTTTCCTATATATAAGCCTGACGTTTCCTATTTCATTATTAATTATGCTTGATCGTGGGGATATATGAGAATGGATTGGCTACTAACAATTTATTCGCGCAACGATCGATTTATAGGTAAAGCTGATTCCTTAAATAGAATGACAATACTAGCTTCCGAATTCGCAGAAACTCTAATATATGAATTCTACGAATATTAAATATTCGTACAAATATATTCTTCTAAAATTACGTAACAACAAAAACAGTCAGCAATTATTCTCAATATCGTTCGAATGATTTTACAATCTCTATTCGTATAATTTATTTCGAACGAAGAATGATTTCAATAACTTTCAATAAATAGAATAATTTCTGACGACTAATGAATGCAATCGTTACGGGAATAAAATATTATCTTAGACTAATATTTTTTCGAAAGAATTCGAATAATCCTCGACTCTGATTGCCAGCGATACAATTTAACCCGAACACCGTGCCACAGCGGATTCTTTCCTGTCATGAACCCACCCTCGGCCGCAATTAAAATGCGGAGCACCGGTTCAAAAATGTTTCCCCCTCCAACTAATTCACGGACGTCCGCAGATTCTTGGCCGTTTGTTCAGCGCGCGAAACGAGCGGGTTAACCGCGGCTGCTCGCGGCCCAACAATTTCCGCAAATAATAGCCGGAATGTACAAGCGGCCGAGTAACAGCGGTCTTAACAGCGAGCGTGTGAGCCTGGCCGGAACTCTCGCCGAAATTCGGCTTAATTAGCGGAAACGCCGTCCAAGAAAGCGGACGCGTGACAGGCCTCACATGGTTCATTTAAATCGATCGACGGCGAACCGACGCCTTCTCAATTGTTCCACGATACCGTCACTCGAGTTGATCTAATTCGAAACGTATTATCGGAACTGTTTTACTTTTTCATCGGATACGGACAAGCAACGTTGGAATTTCAATTAACGACTTTGGCGACATTCCTGCAGGTTTCTAGGAGCATGAAAAATTGATGCATCTTGCTGTTGGGAGATGCCGTTCCAATGGCGACGCGACGCTGCTGGATTTTTCCGTGTAATAACGCGACGAGGATGTTTTTCTAGAAAATTAAAAAACTATTAACAACGCAGAGAGAGAGAGAGAGAGAGAGAGAGAGAGAGAGAGAGTAGCTGCGATTATTTCAAACTCTGTCCTTATGCAGGGAATAATTGAAAATGTTTTTGTATTTTTTTACGTAAATGTGCACGCATCGCGATTAAACGTAACTTGTAAGTAATTATTAAAAAGTGTATTAACGGGCCTGCGGTAACTAAAATGTTAGAAAATTATTTACCGAAAGAACCAGTAGAATAATAAAATTCAAAAATCACTTTTTACTAAAGTTCTTAGCTGAAGTAACACTCGATAAATCGCAGGATTCATTATGTTCGCCGTTGCAATGAGAATCATCATTTTAGCAGGACTGGGTAAAAATAGATGTTTGAACTCTAGTAGATGGACTATAAATATTATTATTATTATAAATTATATTATATATAAATATATATAAATTATTATAAATATTATTAATATTATTATCTTCTCACGTAATAGAGAATTTGGCAAATAAACTTTTTCTTTAAATATTACTCGCATATGGACGTCGCGTAATTAATATTTGAGACGCTATATACATATGCAACTAGTATTTAAAAAAAGTTTATATGCCAAATTTCGTATTAAATGACAAGATGAACATATTTATAGTCTATTTAATTTGAACATATTTACAGTCTATGTAAGACTGAATAAGATAGAGGTCGGATGATTTATACGAAGCACAGCGCGACAGCGGTTTCAGTAAAAAAAAACGACGTGACCGAAGGAGATCGAATATTTCACAGAAATAATTATCGCAAAAAACGACAGCCTCGAATTTGCATAGCTGCGCTCGAAGCATTTTTAATCCGGCCGATCATGGGATTCCACGGAAGGTCGGAGCCACCGTACCCGTAAATTCTTCAAAATGGCCGGGTGCCAACGATAGAGAGATCGCCGGTTCAGTAGAATAATGAAGTCGAGTGACACGGCTGACCTGGTGACCCAATACGCGCGGCCAGGGAAACTGTCCCGAGACGAACGAGTTAAAAACTCTGTTTCCGTATACGGAGAGAAGCTCTGCTAACTATAAGAGAATGGAAAGAAGTCTTTAGGCCTTGTTCTTCCGCGAGAAACTAGCTTCTGAAGGATTTCCCTCGGAGGCGCCGCGAGAAAATGGCCAACATAAAGAATGCAACGGCTGCATAAAGCGTAGCTCGCCCTGTTACGTCTGCGAAAACTGAATTTAGTATGCGGACGATTTAATGATCCACGTTGGTCAGCGATCTTCCTGGAAATTGCAGCTGTAGAGGATTTTTCTGGGCCCGGAAGTTCGCGCCTGATAGATTGACCGAGAAATTCGAACACTTTTGATCGCATCAATTTTCCGCGAACTATTGCTAGAAAATGTTTTCCTTCGGTTGTATTCGCGATTTGTATACAATTGTTTGCTATTGATAATAGCAACGATCGATGATGGCACGTAGACTACAGACATCGTACCTATCCCATAATTATGTTAACACTCGGAAAGGGGCGATTCCTGAGGTCATTTGAAGTAACTTTTTCCTTAGCGAAAATGCAATCCGCGACTTCGTTTACGAGTTATTAACGAAAAACAGTGACCAATCAGAGGCGAGATCATTTGGCGCGAGACGGCCGGACCAATGAGCGGAACTGGGCTCCGTGCACTCGTTGACTGGGCCGCTACGCGCCAGCCGAGCTCGCCTCTCATTGGTCACTATTTTTCGTTAATAACTCGCAAACGAAGCCGCGGATTGCGTTTTCGCTAAGGAAAAAATTACTCGAAATGACCTAAGGAACTTCTCACTTCCCGCTTGTGCAATAATTTTGGGACACCCTGTAGGTACGTATAAAAGGAAACTATCGTGTATAATATGCAGAGACATTAGGGTTTATCGTATAATATACGTGTGATATACGTGCAATGTACGTTTACGTATGACACGCGTTAATTTCGTCGCACAGTTGTATATAGACATCGCGGAGTTATGACAAAACTGACTGGGTGAAATTTTAGACAGCTGCAATGTGGAAAGAATCTTACTGGAACGTTTGATTAAATTTCCACATGGATTCTCCTTTTTACAATCAATGCAAAGAATTCCTATTTTCCATGATAACTGAACTGTAAATTTTTATTTTCTAGTAATTGAACTGCACATTTGTTATGCATCCATGGTATTTGCAATTGTACGAAATTCAACGAAACCTGCAGCGCGACGAAAATAAACGGAATTTTCGTGTCATCGTGATCACGCAGAATAATTTCTTTGTTGAAGACAATTTTTGGCGATAAAAGCACGAAGCACGATTTACCGATTCCCATAAAATTTCACAGCAGCGTAATGATTTTAATTTCAATTAGACCGTGTACAATGAAATCACGATTGTGTTGGAAAATTTGCTCCGAATTGCTGACAGCTGTATCAGAAAAATCGTCCGAGTGTAAAGGAATAAAATTGAGAAAGAAAATGATACATTACATTGCGACCAAAATGTCGAATTAACTATCCGTATAGTTTTGATTAATTTTGACGAACGAAACGAAATTTTGATTATCGAACGACACTTTTTACAGCTCTCGGCTGCCTCTTGTTTCATAGTGCGCCGGGGGAAAAAAATACAAGATCCACTTCTACGCATTCTGAATCGCTTTTCAGCGGTCACACTACACCCCCTCCCCCCTCCCCATCGCATGGTCGAACAAGAGGCGATAGAGCCTCTCACTGCATATTTCTATCATTCTTCCGTGTGACGAGCTCTGATATCGATTTCTCATCACTTTTCGCGCGCCGCGCCGCGCCGCTCCGGTCCGCGCGCTTTGATATCCGCAGATGCGATAACGTTACTTTCCATTATCTGTTCCAGAGTTTACGCAACATGATGACAGCGAACGCGACCGATGCCTGTGAAACGCGTGATCCCTGCCAGCACGGCGGAATCTGCATTTCCACCGATAGCGGGCCCATCTGCGAGTGCCGGTCCGGCGATTATGAGGGCGCCTATTGTGAAAAAGGTGGGTTGTTCTCCCGATCTAGATATCATTGTTGACTCATTGTTCGCAGCCGTTGTGCACCGGGTTCCGTGCACGTGTATCCGGCGTCCAGCGTTCGTAATTCCGATCTTGATCCTCGTACGTCGTGCCTTTACGCCGACTACTTTTACGTCGCGTTCTCCGGACAAAGTTCTGCTGGTCGAACATGCTCGGAACGACACTGATACCTCTGTTTTAATAAGCGGATTTAATTGGTAGAGGATTAATTGAAAATGTCGGATCGACCGGGTATTTTTGTACAAGTCGAGGTGGGATAAGTGCAGAATGATTTTTGGAATATTATGAAAATAAAAGAAGTCCGTATTTAATGGAAAAATAAATTTTATGGACGTAGTTGATAATAATAATAATAAATGACAAACCTTTATCGAACAGTATAATATTGTAGAACATATTTTCATGACTATAATAGAAAAATAAATTTCATGGAAGTAGTTGATAATAATAATAATAATAATAATAATAATAATAATAATAATAATAATAAATAACAAACGTTTATCGAACAGTATAATATTGTAGAACATATTTTCATGACTATTGCAAGCATGAAAAAAGTCCGTTTCTAATGGAAAAATTAAATTTCATAGACGTAGTTGATAATAATATCACCACTCGCGTCAAACGTTTATTAAATAATATAAAATTCTCGCTATACTTATTGCCTACTTGATAAAGAATTCTGATTTATTTAGGATGGACAAATGTTCGCACAGATGTTTACGGACTAATTTATACGAATTGAAATCAAAACCGACGTGTTCTTCCTTTTATTAGACTTCTTTCTATTTAACGACAGCCTGTTAAATAGGAATATTATTATTTCGTTCTTTCAAATGTTTCATCGTTCGAGTAAATGTAGCCACACGATAAACATAAATTTCCATTCTCTTCCAACAAATTATTACAATAGAACAAATAACGGTACTGTAAGGGATTGAAAATTCTATGGAACGTTTATCCACGCAATTTATCCACACATTTATCCATTCAATTTTCGCGTTATCACGGAATATTTTTGTTTTACACGATACAGTAATGTCTCCCTTACTGACGCTCAGATTGTGCACAAAGATGGACAATTCGGGAAGAGGCGATACGATTGTTCGAGCCTTGCGGCTCGTTCTTATAGTTGTTGACAATTCGTAACTATAAAAATGAACCGCAAGGATCCAATGATTGTATCATCTCTACCTAAATTGTCCATTTTTGTAGACAATCTGAGCGTCGATTAGAGAGACATTACTGTAATTTGCAATTCAATTGCGACGCCAGAGGCCAAGGAACACGCTCGCAAAGCTCTCGCTTTGAATAACCGAGCTCGCCAAAACTGCACAACGCATAAAAGGCACGGAAAGCTCTGTAAAAACCATCGTCTAATTATGACAATACCGGTATCTCGGATTTCCCTTTCCGAAAATCGAGCCCGTAAAGCCGGACTCCGCCGAGGGCTTCCCTCGCTTTTAATACTCGAACGCGTCCGGCCAATATCGACGGACGATCGGGTTTTAATGATACTGTATCGAGTTACCAGTGAAAAGAATGATTTATCGTCGTATCGTCGGCGTCCGATATTTTACTAATATTTCACGAGTCCTATATGTACAATCCAATTAATCGCGACACGGACACGACCTCCTTTCGCAATCAGCTTTTTGCACCACCACGCTTTCCGCACTGTTAATCCGTTAATCTCGCGGCACCTGAAACTTTTCCTGAAAGCGATATTGATCATCGGTGACGCCCGTTTGAAATGCCCGTTCCCAAGTAGGGGGCATGGAAATATGAAACACGGATGCCAACTGTTCCATAAATCGGGCCAATGAGAAACTTGCTTCGAAACACTCGCGATCGCATGAACATTTTTTTTGCCTTCTACAGAGCTGATCGTTACGTAACGGTGTTCGGGCCAGTGAATTTGTAAGGAACAATGTTCGAAAACGTAGGTGGAATTTTTATATCCATATATTGTCACGTGCTCTATTTATCGTTTATTGCATTCTTTCGATATTCTTTCCATCGCGTTCTGTCACAATCGAGCCGTGTCTCGCTTTCGCGATGAATAAGTAAATTTTTATCGACAACAAAATTCTGATAAATAATTCTGATAAATTGTGATGAACAACTAAATTTTGGTAAGTAACTAAATTTCGTATAAATTACTAAATTCCGACGAATAACTAAATTATGATGAACGAATCAAAATGGTTCGCGTTTTATTTACAAATTCCGGATTACCTATTTTCATAATGTACGAATAAGTTTCACGGGACTTTTTCGAATAAATAGATTCGCGAACGCCTGGCGTCTGCGGAACGAGCGCTGGATCTAATTCAATATTCGCTCGGCCTCCCAGAGGTGCTTGCCGCTCAATTATACGATCCCGTGGATCATTTCGACTCTTTTTCTTCGGGACGGCCCCCGAAGAATGCGAGATCACGCCCCGGGCAGATTTAAAAGGCCGCGGCGAGCGGTTCTGAGCGAAATTCCATGTTTCTCCGTGGATAAGCAGCCGCCGAGATTTACTTTAATTGCGATTTACTATGCGAGATAAAACTCCGAGGCTCAGGATGCACTCACGGCTACGCGTGCTAATGCAGTCCCGTCCCGTCATCCTCCGCGTCCTTGCATCCCTCCTCCTTGACGTTTGCCGAAAGAGAGGCTCCGCGATCGATCATAATGCATTTAGATCGGTTTGGACTTTTTATTATCGCAGTTCTTCCATTGGTCATTGGATTTCTGGAATTTTTTGCCACGCGCTCTAACTGCAAGGACCGTTAACCGATCGAGATACTTTTTAGTTCGCAATTTAATTATCCGACACGGCTAGGTTCATTTTTATATTATATATTTATTTTATATATTTTACGATACTACTCGCAATTTATTTGATATTTCAGTGGGTTAGAATCATACTGTCGCATTTTCTTGATCGCAGAAAACAAGGTGTGTTATTGTTTGTTACACTAACATGTGTATGGTTTACAAACCAAGTATTATTGTTAAGATGATTTAGCGTTCAGTTAATTTGTAGTAACTTTGTAATCTATTTCACTTGTCTTCTTAATATTTCGGTACGCACGGATTACATTTCGAAATATGTGTGAAAATTTTCGAAGATGCCACTTACATTTTCATAATGTAACCCTCGAGATATTTTTCTGTTAATTTCAATGCTGCTCTACAACCTCACATTGTGGATTTACTTCGTTGTTTTGACGTTTTATTTCCATTTGTATTTTGTGACTTTTTTTTATTATAAGTTTATTGGTCGCGTATTATGTTATCGTTATGAAATTGGCCAGAAATATCTGCCATCATTTTATACGAAACGGTCGATTCGGAAAATAATACGGAACGTGACAAGATACGTACGTATAATTAAAAGTTTCCATTTAAAAAAGTAAATCTTATCGGTGTTAAAATCATTTTGAATACTATTGCAAGTGTACTTACCTAAATATGCGTTTAATACATGTCGTCAGTCTGTCATGTGTTTTTAATTGTATATCAGAAACCGCGAAACGTGAAACTATTGAAAAAGTAATGAATATTATATAGAACATAATTTTCCCATCGTGATTCGATTAAATAAAATATTTCGATTTCAATGAAATTTTTACGGGATGTGTTTTTTCGGGGACGATTTTTCGGAAATACTTAAAGGATGTAAGCACGACAGCCGAAGTGTTGCGAAAACTTTAAGGGAAGAAACGATCAAATTGGTCGATCGTGACAGCGACCGAAGATACATCTGAATTTTTCGTCGTCAGCCCCCGTATACACAGAAATTACAAACTGACTTCGAACTCTGAGAAATCGAACGTCACAAGCAGGCAGCGCGTTCTCACATCCAAGAAACTCCATTTCACCGTCCGGTGACAGTTCATTTTGGTGTCAGTCAGTCATGAAATTCTCCCGATGCAAATTCTCCGGTTGTATCTACAATAGCGCAAGCGGCCATCATTTATTTTACATGTAATCCTTGCGGTTTATCTGTGCTAGATACGCTGCATCAAAAATGCGGAACTTCCTTCGCTGCGATCGTTTATAAAAGTACATGGTCGTTGCTTGCGGATTTTATGTTTTTCTAACGAAAATAAGTAAAAGAAGTTGGAATAGTAAAATGATCGGAGGAATTTTAAAAAATTCTCGTATTATCATCGATTGATAGTACATATTGAAAGAAGAATTGAATCTCTTTCGTTTCTGCTTCATGCAATTGATGCCTAGAATTGTTATTGTTATTTTTATGTTTGTGCAAAATAAAAACGGGAGTTACGTGGATATTTCTTTCGCATTTCTTACAACTAAATAAGTTGAAAATAGTGCAACAGTAGTTTTGTACTCGATTAACTAGTTTTTCTCATAAATGCATCAAATATGCAATCGAGCGATCACTACGATCACTACGTTTACGACAGAAACAAATACTTGAATTATAAAACGTTAAAAACGTAGTACAAAACCACAAAACACTGTACAACAGAAGAAATGAATTTTTATCTCACTTCGTGATTCATGCAACTGATGAAAAGAATTGTTACGCTGCAATCTATCCCCGCAATCTGTCTCGGTAGATGACTGATTTCTATGCAAAATGAAAATTATCCAAACTGATTGTAAGAACCATAAGTTCGGTGAAAAAGTCTTTCCCTCTTTTAATAACTTTAATACATTGTATATAATATACAAGTACTCTAAAACTGTAATGCTCTCGCAATTTTGTTTTCAGCCTAATCACTTTTCTTAAAAATGCACAAAATCCATTGTTCAGTTATACCAATAACTGGAGAATTTCTACGCAATTTTAACGATGGTATTTTCCTCCGATCTAACCGTACGATCAATTCGAATTAATAATTTATAACGTTGATCACGGTAAAAGTGAAGTCGCCGAACAATGATGTCCAATAATTAACCGCCGCATACTAATTACATCAATTCTCGTTGCGCTCGGT